CCTTGTCATGGCTAAGGGCAAATGGGTGGAGTTGCTCTTATGAAGAGGGAGTTTGAAATCAGGTGCAATGCGACAAATACACTCCTTTATCAACACTCCCTCAACTGACATAAACCACATTTGCGTTTTTACTTTTTGTTTATGTTATGTTTTCATTTGATTCATAAAAGAAAATTTACAAAAATATTTACTGTTATCCAAATATAAAACAGCATAATTTCATTGGTAAATTGCTCAGTCCATGTTCTGACACAAATGAAACCTCTTTTATACAGTAAATATGATAAAAGATTCTAACAAGTTTAAAAATCTAGTTGGTTTTGAATACATAATAATATGGTAAATTTCTATGGCAAACAACAAAATGGGAAAAAGTTTATTGTTTTCTCAATCACCAATTTGGAATACTGGTGTTCAATAATAGATTAAATTAATACTTTAAAGTGTAGAGACCATAATAGTTGTGGTACTATCAGCAGCATAACTTGTTTTGCTTCAAACAGATCATTTGCGGGCTGCCACCTTCTTCTGTTCTTTGGCTGAAATAATTGGAGTAAAGAATTACGAATCATGTAAATCTAGAAAAGAAAAAAGGAACAAGCAATTAGTGGTGGTCTCAGACTCAGAATATTACCAGCTCTTTCTTCTTCTCTCTTTTTAGCAGCTTCGGCCCTCTGTTCTCTTATAAGGGCTAAACGCTCTGCATAAACAACAAGAGGAGATCAATAAAATTTTTGAAACTATAAAGAACTCAGCTATTGTTTTTTCTCTAAAGAACTCAGCTAACAAATGTTTAGAGCATTAGCCATTAATTATACTGTGAAACAAAAAATAGGCCGGGTAACAAAAATTACGAATGTTAACACAGAGATTCTAACTTCATGACAGAAATTATAAGGCAAGCCAATCCTTACGTGACACGTCAGTCAACTAACAGCAGTGTCCTGACTAACACTAATCAATGACACTTACCTAAATCTTTCCTTGCTTCCTCAGTTTTTCCTTGTTCTTGCAACCTCATATATCTCTCACGGGCTCTCTGTTTCTCTATCTCTTCTCTGAAAACAAAAGCACAAAAATTGAGGATGTATAAAACTGATTAAGATCAAAAAGATATTCATACAACTCAAGTTTCACCCAACAAACCTTTCACGCCTTGAGAGTTCAGATGTTTTTCCAATCTGTAAAAAATACATAAATAAATAAGACAAATATTACTTTGTCATACAATTCACTATCAGAACTAAGTTCAAAGAAATCTGCAAAACTTACATCAATGTCTCTAGCTTTCAAGGTCTTTGGCTTTACCAAATTAGGATTTTCAATCTCAATAATACCTTGAATTCCCTTCTTCTTCTGCAAACATTATTGGACAACATGACAAGTGATTTCACATTATTACTTACACATTTAAAAAGTATAAAACAAGAAGAAGAAAAAACCTTCTACATATATAGCAGTTCATGTTTACTCACTTCATCTTGTCCTTCCGATTCATCTCCGGACTCCTCTTCAGAACTTTCTTCAATTTCTTCTTCAACTTCGTCATATTCAGCTTCTTTCTGATAGAAACAAACAAAATAACTTGCTTACCCCGAAAAATTGATAATTTTGTATCACCATATAATATGTGAGAGAGAGGCAGCCAGACATACCTTTGAAAAAGTGCGAGGACGAGTAGAGGTACCAGCAACTGCAAATGTATATTAGAACGCACATGAGAACTATACCAATCTAAACAGAAATTCCTACTACAAATTTATAGGCACTACTAACAAATACTCATTCTCCCTCCAGCTCTCTAACTCACACAAAGAGCTTTTGACAACATGTAGTAGGCCATAAGAAATCGATATTCTGACACTATTAATTGAAATCTCATTTAAAGCGAGTCAATAACTCAATATCGACAAACAATAGTGAAACACCACGCCTAAAATTGATTTAATTTCCTATTTATGGGACCAATAAATTATAATTATTTTCTGGGTTATACAGCCAATATAGCATAATTATAACTTGCAATTACATAGAACAAATAGCCAACATATTCAATCTCCTAAAACCAATAATAACAATAGTCGTTTGCATGATCTCCCAATAATAACCAATAATAACAACAGTCGTTTGCATGATCTCCCAATTGTAATATCAATTAAACCAACAATCAACATTCGAATCAATGCAATCACTCATAAAATAGAACCTGAAACAAATTGATCAAACAACAACAATAGAATTTGTCGATTACTAACTACAAAACACACCCCAGCCAGCAGGCCTTAATCCTCTGTTTGGTTACCGAGAAACACCAGAAAGTGGGAGGGAAAACAAAATAATTCAACTAACTAGTTTTGAAACCAAACAAAAAAATCTGTAAATAAGAAAGAGAGAAAATTAAGAATTGTTTGGCTTACGAAGATCTTCGGGAGTGGAGAACTGGCGATGACCCGTGGGCTTGCTCTTGAACTTTCCCCTTCCCATCGTTCGAATACAAAAAGAAGACGAAGCAGAAGCAGCAAATTTGGGTTCAAAGGCGATCAAATTGAGAATCAGTTTTCGATTATATAAAACAATCCAAAACACTTGGTTGATTATCTATGGGCACTAGGGTTCGATTATATTTCACTGTGATTTCTAAAACCCTAGTCGTCCCGGGAAAGATCAAAGCAGTCGTGAGAGTCGTGTTGTGGAGGGAAATCCTTTTTGTGAAGGCTTCGGTTTTATCGACTCTCCTATGCTATGGGTCTAGTGGTCAATTGACTGTAATACCCCTTTAAATTTGGAAAGACCGAGTAAACAAGGACCCGATTATTTGGAACTCAACTTGTAGCCCATTATTATTAGAGCAACTCCACCCATATTGCCCTTAGCCATG